ACAGACAGACAGACAGACAGACAGACAGACAGACAGACAGACAGACAGACAGACACAAAAAGAGACAGAGACAGAGAGAGACAGAGAGGGAGAGAGAGTGAGAGAGAGTGAGAGTGAGAGAGGGGGGGGTGCTTTTCTTTTCATCTGTTATTTCTTCTACTTTTCTTCTACTCTCATTGAAGCCCGTTGTTTCCGTCTATGGGCATCTTTTTTTTCAAAGTAAAGTAAAACGAAATAGATAAATATTAGATTGTCCAGTTCTTTGGAAATGTTATACGATCCCAAAAGCACTATTCACAATATTAGAAAGAAGGGGGGGGGGGCGGTTTCAGCTAAAGCTGAACTTGAACCATAATTGACACAATATTATATCTTTTACCATCTTTTCTACATGGGAATCGAACTCAAGCAACTAACCCACAAGGCGAAAAGTTCACCAATGTCACCACAGATACCGCTGCGATATAAGATAAGATAAAACGTCTGTGGTGCAGTAATTAGACACTTTGCAGACGCATGCAGAAAACCCCAGTTTGATTCTGGACAATGAAGAATGTTCATCGTGTGTTTTGGCTTTTTTGCTGGGATGTTGTATCTCTCCCAGCTTGGGTCCGCCTTGACAGGCAGGGTCGAAGCCCACTTCATAAATGGTCTAAATTATGTCATCAGGTACGTAAAACACCTAAAGAAAACAAGATAAGACGCAGTTCATTGATCCTTTCCTGGAAGTAAAAACAGTGTAGTGGCACGGTTATTTATAGTAACACCATGGCACCGTTGCATCAAAACGGACAAAAGCGATTATGAGTCTACTGTTTTACATCACATGATGATGGTAGACTTGGTAAATTCGGGCAATGTGCTGCCACTTCTTCATATTTCGTCTATTCTGCACAGTAACATTTAAAAGAGAATATTAGAAGCAACATAATGATAATTATGTGGTCCTTAAAGACTGTGCTGAAAATAGTGTTATTATTGAATGAAAAGAAAACAAACTAAGAAGAGTTTGGAATTGCAAACGTGAAAAGATAACTCATCGAGACAATACGGAGGCAATAGGTGAAATTCAAGGGTTATGTATTCGAAAAAGGGTTGGAACGACTAAGTATAACAGGAACATTCGATGGATCAGAAGCGAAGGACGCCAATGCGCAAGATTCATAGTAGCCTGAACACCTGGGAAACTGTATATCAACACAATGGATAACTCACCCATGGAGCCCTCGAATGAAATGAGGGATGGTGAACCATAACCACCAACGTCTTTTCAAGGCAAGACAATTGATGATGATAAAACTATAGCTGAGCCCTCCGCACAATCATTTGATTAATCAATTAAATTGATTAATTAATAGATATTTTAAAAAAACCAAAAAAAACATATTAATAATATGAATATGAACAAGAATACCTTTTTGATAATGCCCAGAGCTGTAAACTTTATAAACACGAACCCACGTCCACCTACCTTGCTTGGGCGTCTTGGGAAGTCCTGGGTGAGTCCTTCCACGTACTGGACGGCGGGAATGTTGAAAAAGAAGTCTGCCGCCAAGTCGTTGAGTGGGGACACGTCAAAATAGTTCATGTAGAAAAATGTCACCTTGTCGATGACTTCGTTGCTGGCATTGCCGTAGGTCAAAGTCATAGCTAAGGTAACCCATTCACGAACGTAGTCACGATCATAGATCTGGGGGAAATGATTGTACAGATTTCCCGTTTCATTTCCCTTACGCCCATATTGGCACAATACAAGTTATTTGCAGTTCGGACTTCCTCAACTCAGCTAATGTTAAATCAAAGACAAAGTCACCTTATGGAATATCCTTGAAAATAAATGTCCATTATGTTCTTTCTATAGCAGGGTTGAGGAGTTTTGCTGACACTCCCACTCCCTCCCCAGGCCAACCTCTTTTGTAGAAAACATTTTTTGTTTCATTAGGTCTATAAATAAACGTTGCTTATACACCTATCAAAACAATTTATTTCAACAGAAAGGCGGTCTATGATCCCTTTTTAAGGACCGACCCGGTTGTAGTTGACACAGCAACACATCCCAGAGTGGAAACGAAAGTTATATTCAATAAAATACCCCCCCCCTTACACACACACACACACACACACACACACACACACACACACACACACACACACACACACAAACAAACACATGGGAATCGAGCCAGCGCCCTTATCGTACTGAGCGAACAGCCTGTAACTTGTAACACCTTAGACGCTAATATAGACCCGGTATGTTATGATCTTGTTCAAATTCTAAAGCCCTATTAGTTACAAAAAGATGTCGCTCCAGAACTGTTTTGTTCTAAGTGCACTTAACTACATTGTATAGAGTGCACTTTTGACAAAAGTTCTAGGGCGACGATGGTTCAGAGTGCAGAAGATGAAAGAGATAAAGAAGGAAAGTAGACACGAATTGGCAAACGAAACAAGAATATACTATCACATCAAGAGACCAACGTCTCCTCCTTCCTATGCCCTTAACCCTTTCAGTATCAATTCGGAGACTGTTTTGGGCTCTCAGGTATCAGTCTTGAGCAGGTTTGGCAGTGAGAGGGTTAGTTAATTCGTGAAGCGGTGTTCAGAGCGTCACCTCCATCAATGTGCTGGTACATGTCTATTCCCTTTTCAGGGGGTCGCGCATGGAATTACCGAGGGACTGAGTAGTTGATGAGCACAGGTTTACAGTGGCGTCAGGCATGTTGAATTTTAAGAGATTTGTTACAGCTGTGTAGTCTGTTATAAAAATCTTTCTTTTCTGACAAACTGAAGCGTAATAGTATGGTTAATGACCGTGTTCTGTAGAATTTCATTTTCCTTCAGCTTTTTGCACTAAATCCCATTTTGAGTCTGTTGAAAATCTTGCATTTTAGACCCAAAATGATATTTTCATTCTCATTTTTAACACCCGCTTTCGAATGGGGAATTTAATGCGTTTAAAGTAACTTATGTTCAAAACGGAAAAAGATGGATTGAAACCAAAACTGTACTGAACTCGTGATATCGTGGTAACAAGGAGGGTGTTTTTGAGAGTTTTCAAGGCTCTCCCTCTTACAGGGATGGTCCTATCGCAAAAAAAAACAACACTTTAGCTTATTTTGGTGCTCTGACTCTTAATTAAACTAAGAGTATTGATGAAAAGGATGTTGAATCGATTCCATATTTTTCCTTACCTTTCCCTTGGCGCCAGTCTGGCCAACGGACCCATCATTCTGCAGCACACTGACAAGATAGTCTCTCTCTAGTATCTTAGTAGTCTCCAAGTACTGTTTGTTTTTGAAGATCTCGTATGGCTGAACAAAACAACAAAGAAACCCGGACAGGTTGTAAGAGTAAAAAAGAAGAACTTTGATCAAATATAAATTACTAGTAGTTCGAGTACGTCTTTGGGTAAAGGTTGTCAGCTTAAATTAGAAGCACTATGAGTAAATGTATTGAGAAACACAGAGGGGGCCTTTTCAAGTATCATTGCTTTTCATGAAAGTAATCAATCTCTCTCACTTTTATAAGCCTATCACACAATTCAATTATGGCCATTAAATGATGGATATGAAGACAAATTGGAAATAACAGCGCCCTTTATATCAAAGACAACAGTCCTGTAAAGGGTTTGAAAAGAAAGGGCCGCCCATTGCTTTTTGGTAGCATCAGTAATCTCGTGTTTAGGCTACCAGACAGGTAATTGTGAGATTACTGGATGAGGGTTCGAGGCTCAGCGTGATCCGACCTTATCTTCTTAGGCAAGGCACTTTACATTAATTTTCCTATTTGGATCGGTCCTATCGAAGCTAGCTGGACGTTAAATTATTTTGGAGGTCCCTCCTATCATAGACAATCCTAAATTGTTGTATGGAGTGTTCAGACTATACTATTTCAGCCATCGTTTCGTTTCCCCGTTGTATTTCGTTTGTGTGAATGGACCATCAGCAGACAGAATGACATGATCTATGTTCAATGGATCAGGAAAACTTAGCTATCGATTTCTGAATGTTTGAAATGTTTTGATATTAACATTTGTCTCGTTTTCCCCTTTACCCTTGAAAGATTTGGGTTTTTATGGTCCAGTAAAACAATTCCCAGAGGAAGTAGAAACCGAATATTTACACAGCCATGCACCTACACATGCGCACGCAAATATATATAATATACAATATTACAATATACAAGGAAAGGGTATCAGACAGACAGATAGAGAGACAAACACGAAGATAGACAAACGCGAAGAGACACTCTCTCACAGAGCGAGACATAGATAGATAGATAGATAGATAGATAGATAGATAGATAGATAGATACCTAAACTTACTCCGTAAGGAAACAGATCCCCATCTTTCACTGCCGAGAAAACGTCTGTCCGAGCAAAGTTCAAAGCACTGGTGTTAGCCAATCGCTGTGCAGGTAGTTGTTTTAAACATGTGATCACGGGCGTCCAATCAGCTTCTGTTACTGGGTTCTTATCTTCTTGTTTAATACAGCCTACACTTCTGTGAGGGGAATTGAGTTCAAGTTATTCAAATTGCGAAGCACCATTTTGTACGCGAAATGTAAATACTATTTGTATACGAGTTTAACAAAAAAATGAAATGTGTGGTGTTTAGAGAGAGGGATACGGGGAACGACATCATCCAGGATAGGCAGACAGAGAGAGAGAGCGTGAGAAAGCGAGTGAGAGAGAGAGAAAAAGAGCGAGAGAGGGGGGCGGGAGACAGAGAGACAGACAGACATAAAGACAGATTGACATACTAAGAGAGAAAGAAAGCGACAGAGAAGAAGAGAAAACCATAAAGGCACACAAACATGGTGGCATATTCACAGACACACGATGAAATAGATAGATAGATAGATAGATAGATAGATAGATAGATAGATAGATAGATAGATAGATAGATAGG